TCGGGAAAACGGAATTTGCTGTCCAATTTGTTAAAAAGTCAAAGATGAAAAAGTTACACACGCAAAGTACCAAGGGCCCCCCCGTACCCACCCCAATGGACCTTGTGGAAATAAATGGATTAGTCCATCAAATTGCTCATCAAAATTTAGCTGTGTATACCAAATTTCATTCATTTATCACAACGCGATTGAGAGATATTACAAAAAAATTATTTCCATGTCCCTGTGCCCTTAGGAAGCATTTCCGGACCCATGTTCATATAAACTTTTTTATTTAGTTTTGATCATAGAATCGGCCTGTTCAGGGTTGGCAGCTAATTATGAGACACCCTGTATAATGACTGGACTACTACCCGAGTACTTACTCTAAACCGAGAGTAAGGTTTATGTGGAGTTTCCCCCACGTAAAATATAGGGAAACTGGCGCCCGAGACGAACCGAATAAAAAATATATAATCTGGAGTATGCTCCTGTGACGTCACTCACCGCCACCGGCTAGTTCACCTATTTTTTATGGTGATTTCAAAAATGCAGTAAAATACAGGGTGTTCCATTTAAAAATATATAACTTTGATATGGTACTCTTTTCCTGGACAACCTGTAAATTTTAAAATATTTTTAAAATGTAGCCTTAATCAACCTACACATACCCGCCTAAACAGGTTTTTATAACATTTGCCATTCCCTAGCAACCGAGGCGTTACTGGTGGCCCACCCTGTATATGTGCGTATGTGAGTGATGTGAGTGTTAGTGAGTGTGTGACTGTGTACATCCTTATATTCATACACTAGCATTGCGTTATAACCAAACGTACTTAAAGCCCATCTTTGAAAAGCTGTTTCTTGAAAGGACGAATTTTTGGGACTTAACGGTCATTGAGACTTTTGATCATCAAGTATCTTCTACCAGAATCTATTTCCCATCAGGATCCTACGGGGTCCTTTCACAACACAATATGTCGAAAATTATGGATTTGCCAACTTATTTTTATATAATCCTTTTGAATTAAAATTACTCAATCACCCCTTAAAGTTAGAGTATATGCTTATTTAACACCCTGCATAAGACATTGTATAATTGACTAGAAGTATTAGAAGTAGGTAGCTCACTTACTTATGGGCTGAATTACTTAGGGCAGTAAAATGTCGATCTAAAAGGAAACAAGTCATTTGTTCAGTGTAGATAAGTCTCGGTTGAGGTAACAAAAATTTTAGTAAAACGTTCCACTTACTCTAAGTGAGCTCTTTTTAACAAAGCATATTTTGTTTTGGTAATAAGGCAACTCACTTGGCGCCTATTTAATGCAGATATTTTACTACGGTTAACTAATTCTCATTCACAAACATAAAATAAAAACTAAAAACCAATATTGAGGGGCAATTTTTGAATGCCAGAATATTATTATACCATTTAGAACTTCATTCATAACTTTTTTCAATGAATTTCCTGTATTTTTCAATGAAATTTCCTGTACTTTTATGAATATATAAATCATTTTAAAATTTTACTTACCTATCTTTACATATAGAAAATATTTTATTAACCATTTCATTATCATTCATTTGAATAGCTGCAATGAGAGATCTAGAATACTCGTGAAATTTTAAATATTGTTCACAAGTTAATTTCATTATTTTAGTCCTCTCCATTTCATCCACATATTTAGAGCAAGAACTTAAGTACATGCACATTCTTTGGTAAGTATTTTTTGCCATATATTGAGACAGCATATGAAGCAGATCTATTTCCATTAAAAGATCACAGGCTTGTATTTCAGCGTGATGATTGCAGTTGAAATTTATAATATCATTAATAAGCGGCATTAACATTTTTATATTGGTATCACAAGTAAATGACCACTGTTGTATTATTTCCTTTTCTAGCTGACGAATATATTCATGACCCCAATCTCCAATATTTTTCATAGTCCCTACAGATGATAAAGTGCTATTATTGGGTGAAACGTGAAACAGAAATATGATGAACAAGAATAAATAAGGTAATATTAAAAAACAGTTCAACAATTCTGGAAATGAAATCTTTGATTGGGAAGAAATATTGGTAAATAATTGTACAATATAATAATATTTTGGGAAATTTCCTTGAGTAACATTCTCAGTTTTAATCTATGGGGCTTCGGGAGCAAATAGTACAACGAAAAATAATGGTATTTTGTCGTATTAGCCCGGAAGCCAGCGACCGTTATGAGTTAGCATTATTTGGCAAAAGCTGGAAGTTTTTCCTACGCTTCATTTGGTATCAGTAGTAAGTGAATCGACCTCCAGCTCGCGTATTTCCGGGGGATGTAACTGCAGCAGCCTCCCACACATGTAAAATAATAAAATAAAAAAACTAATACCGCAAAAGTTGAGACTGTCGAAAAGTTAATTATGTTATAAACAAAAGAAAAAACGCAATCACCTGACTTTAGAGTAGGGAATTACGCCTCAGCTTTTCACCTAAACAAGTTAAAAATATGCGCTAGGTAAACTGATACCGAAAAAGCTGAAATTTGGTAAAGTAATAGTCATCTTAATCAGTTATACGCTGAAGTTTTTGCAGTGTATAAGTACTCAGCTGACGAGTTGAAGGAGCAGCACATCGCTTGCGCGCGGGCGCATTGCATCTTTAACTTTATCAGCTGACCACTTTTCAATCACTAAATATAAATCTGAGCATTTTTTTCATTTAAATTATTAAGTTAGCTATTGTATTACCAAATTTCAGCTTTTGCGGTAGGAGGTAATTTTTTCATTTTTCAAGTCTTACTAGTAATTATATAAAAATATACAACTTTTTTAGAATATTTATTTACAATAAACGATTTCACGAGTTTTTCAATTTAAAGAGTTTTAATAAATAAATATTCACATTTAAATACTTATGTATACATAACATAAAATTGAACTGCATCAACATTTGCTGCGGACAACGTACATTGCAAATATTTGGGCACACGCTCATCTTCAGATCTCATCAGAATTATATTCGACTGATTTCGGCTGGGAAGAGAAGAAGGACAAATTTATTTTCAAATGGTTCGAGAATGAACAGCTGCCCTCTTCGCTTGGAGAAAAAACGAGGATGAGCAAAAAAATAGTGCAGGTTATTAATTATACTAATATATTTCGCTCTTAGACCGATCGAAATAACTCATTTAGAGGGAAAAAAGAAAATTGTTACCTGGACTTTTATAAGTGGAAATTGTAAAGGGGCATATAATAAACTAAAAAAAAAATAAATGCGTGAGCAAGGGGGCGGAGGGTTGATTTGGAGGGTTGAAAAGTTATGAAAAATTGTATCATTGGGATTTCTGGCGAAAGTTGACGTCAAACTAAAAAGTATCCAATACAAAAGTTGTAGATCATGCAAAAATCTACATCTTTTGTAGAGGTCACTTTTTAAGATAACCTCAAAATTTCCGAGAACAATGCAACAGGTTTTTTTTCTAATTTTTCGTTTTTTATTTCTCATTTCTGCAAAAATAATTTAATTTTGACGAAACTTGGTGAAATAATACCTTTCTGTGTCTTAAATAACCACAATTTTTTTTAGATAAAAAAATTAAGAAGTTTCCGAGATATTTATTTTTTTTGGGCTGAAACACTTTTTCTTCAAAGAAAAATTCTACTTAAAAAAATCATCGTACAGAGTCCCACCGGTGATCATTTTTTTCGTTTTGACATATACCTTTTGGTGAAATAAAAAAATCTGCAAACACAGTCCAAAAACATGCTCAAAAATGCAAAAAAATTAAAAATGACTTGCAGCAATGAATTTTTCAGTAATTCTTGATAATTTGTTTAAATTTAAAAAAAAATCAAAAACTGATTACGCCATTTAATTGTACGGAAAAAAATACGAAAAAATCTGTCTCATTGTTTGACCCAAAACTTAATTTTTGTACAGTATTGCTATAAACATAAGTCGAATACTGAATATAAATAAAATAAATAATAATTTTTTTCCGTAGGATGGATTAGTGTACTTATTTTTTTTAAATTTTGATGAATTCATAGATATACAGTGTAAAGTTTTAAAATTCCGGGTAGTTCCGGAGATATCCGGAAAAACCCTAAATTTTGCAAAATGGTTTAATTTTTTTCTGGCTTTATTTAAAAACGAATTTTAAAATAAATTACGTATTTACAATGCCACTTTTTTTGCTCTATACAATGGCGTCAACATTTTTGCAATCCGACGTTTCGTCTTCGAGAGGCTATCATCGGGTTAATTTTTTTAAATACGTCGCTGCTATTTTTATGAGAAAATCTAGTCATTTTTAATTCTGAATTAGAGGATATTACTGCTTGTTTTAGCTATCATTTAAAGTTTTCCTGAGTACGGCTCTGAACGCTTTCAAAATATCTATTGGATGAAGTCGTAACAGTATAAAAGTCAATACCGCACAAAATATCCAACAATTTTTTTTACTACTATTAGCAATACCTACTAATTAGAAATAATAAAATATTTCATAAATTCGTATTATTTTTTTATTAGGTACAACTTTTTAAATTATTGATTAAAAAAATTGTTGGATATTTTGTGCTGTATTGACTTTTATTCTCTTCTCTGTCTCTCCTCCAATCGGTATTTTGAAAGCGTTCAGGGCCGTGCTCAGGAAAAATTTTAAATAATAGCTAAAAACCTTTTTAAGCGATTACAATAGTAATATCATCTAATTCAGAATTAAAAATGACTAGATTTTGTCATAAAAATAGCAGCGACATATTTAAAAAAATTAATCTGATGATGGCCCCTTGAAGACGAAACGTCGGATTGCAAAAATGTTGACACCATTGGATAGAGAAAAAAAAAGTAGACTTTACAGTTAATACTTTTAGCCCAGTCATTATAGACATGAAAGAGCTTGTTTCGGGAAAAAAATACTATTAGAAGTTTTTCTGCGGAATATTGTTCGGAAACCTGTTATAAATAAAATATCAAAAAATCTACTCGAGGCTAGTTGGGAAACTTTGTTTTAACAGTGGTCAATGTTATGGAAAAGTGTTCTTTGACTCACGTAAAAAAAAACTATTATTAATAGCGAAAAAAAGTTTATACAAAAAAGGTAGGTATTAAATAAGCCTATAAAATGAGAAAAGTCCGATCAAATTCCGATAATTTGTTTATGCACAAGAGCTCAAAAATGATCGAAAATTGCCGTTTTTTTAATTGCTAATAATTAATGCAATTTTCATCGCAGACACTTTTAATTCAGGATTTTTTAGGCTTTTTACACCCTTATTAAGTGGTAAAAATTTCAGCCCGAAAGCTTCATTGGTTTGGCGTTGGCGGAATTTGTTATCTAAGAAGATGCTATTTTCAATTCATTTTTCCCAAACTCACAGGCGTTTTAGGGTTTCGATCATTAGTTGTTTTTGTACCTAAATAGTTGTATTGACATATGCATTTACTGAGAATTTAGTTTTTCAAATTTAATTAGTTTAAAAATGACTTCAAAAAAATGTTAATATTTATTAAATTGTTAAGATAGGTAATTATTATAAAATAAAATAGTAACCTCTATACTTTAGTTTTCTTCGAATTTAAAAAAAAAAATCGTTGTTGTAAGTTGATTAGAAGCCGAGATATTTTTTTTTATTTAATCGCAGTGACCTTAATTATTAATATTAAGAGCCGAAATTTGGAGAGAGTATACATTAAGAGCTATATTTTCATGTCCTACATTAACATTAAGGTGAATTCAACTATTTAATTGCGAAAAAGAAGATAGCGTCGACGCGTTCTATTACTTGGTCTAGCGAACGAGTGGGGAGAACGAAGCGGAGCATGCGCGCTTAACAATTTAATAAATATTAACATTTTTTCAATCATTTTTAAGCAAATTAAATTTGAAAAATTAAATTGTCAGTAAATGCATATGTCAATACAACTATTTATGTACAAAAACAACTAATGATCAAAACCCTACAACGCCTGTGAGCTTGGGAAAAATGAATTGAAAATAGCATCTTCTTAGATAACAAATCCCGCCAACGCCAAACCAATTAAGCTTTCGGGATGAAATTTTTACCACTTATTAAGGGTGCAAAAAGCCTCAAAAATCCTGAATTACAAGTGTCTGCGATGAAAATTGTATTAATTATTATTAGCAATTGAAAAAAGCGGACAATTTCGACCATTTTTGAGCTCTTGCGCATAAACAAATTATCGGAATTTAATCGGACTTGTCTTATTTTACAGATTTATTTAATACCTACCTTTTTTGTATAAACCTTTTTTCTCTATGAATAACAGTTTTTTTACGCGAGTCAAAAAACCACTTTTCCATAATTTTGACCATTGTTTTAACAAAGTTTCCCAACTAGGTCGAGTTGATTTTCTGATATTTTGTTTATAACACGTTTCTAAACAATATTCCGCAGAGAAACTTCTAATAGTATTTTTTTCCCGAAAAAAGCTATAATGACTGGCCTATTTGTATTGCTGAAATCTCCAATCATCCAGAGATAATTTATCATTTGTGCATTTGTAATTCGACTTATATGTTTGTAGCAATACTCTACAAAAATAAAGTTTTGAGTCAAACAATGAGACTGTTTTTTTTTATTTCTTTTCCATAGAATTGAATGGTGTAATCAGTTTTTGAATATTTTTTAATTTTAACAAATTATCAACAATAACTGAAAAATTCATTGTTACAAGTCATTTTTTATTTTTTTTTGCATTTTTGAGCATGTTTATAAACTGTGACTACAAATTTTTTTATTTCACCAAAAAGTATATTGTCAAAACGAAAAAAATTATCATCGGCAGAACTCTGTGCGATGATTTTTATAAGTAGAATTTTTCTTTGAAAAAAAAGTGTTTCAGGTCGAAAAAAATGAATACCTATCAGAAACTTTTTGATTTTTTTATCTAAAAAAATTTGTTGTTATTTAAGACACAGAAAGATACT